CTGGTGCCTGCTGTCTGTTCCTGCACTTTTTGTGCCCCATGTTTCATGACCAGTGCAGCAGGTCAGGGTGACCAAGGACCAGCACCCTTAATGACTCAGACTTAAAAGATTTCTAACTGATCTGATGTGTGGCCTGGCAATTCCCATTGGGCTATTAACCCTGGTTTAATAGAGGTTGCTTTGTGGCATGTAAATGAAACCAAACCCCAATGAAGAGAGTTAGCCTTGAATTCTCTTGCATTTTTCACTCTTCTTTGTAAGGTTAGTCTTGTAGTTCTCATTTTAAAGAAGATGAAATGGTACTCTAATCAACTGTCCATCCGCCCACTGTGCTAAATGAGAACTCTTAACACGGGAAGTTTCTCTGCCTATGGAAATGTCTAGAAAGTCTAAAGGTGGCCCCCTTGTGAAGATCCCACACCTAGTTCAGATAAGGTGCCAAGCGTGGCCCCGCCACCTCCGGTCAGAAGTCTGCAATCGAGCTTCCTCAGGGACTTCTCTGTCTTTGCTTCCATTGCTGGTCTGTTGTACTCCCCTCTTGGTTTGCCCCATGTGGGCGGGTCAGACCACCACACTCCCCAAACTGTATATTCAGTGCTGTCCTCTGTAACGCTGTAGTCTGTCTAGGGGGAAGGGACATTATGCTGAAGCTGACCCTGTGGCCCTCTCTGAATGAGCTGCTCTGAGCAGGAACTTCGCCCTCAAGGCTTGGCACACTGGAATGAGGCCTACTCTCTCCCTTTTCTGTGGAGAGTAAACACTACTAATCCGCCTGGGGTGGATTAGTGCCCTGTTGTTCCATTTCCATCTTTTTTCTTCCCCCACCCCTCTGTGGGCTGTAAAGGCATATGGGGGTGGGGGTGAAAGATGTCTTTCCACATAGGTGCTATCTGCATCTTAAAAAAAAATTTTTTTTTATGACATAAATGCATTATGGTATTTGGCCTGGCTCTTGACAGGTCCTCAGCCTGGGAACTATGCAATATATACCTTTTACCCTATGCCTGTTCAGTTTTTTGAACTTACCTCAGTGGTCTCATGTACTTGGCCTTTTGTGCTTGGTAATTTCACTCAGCATAATATCCTCCAGCTCTTTCCACGAGACTAGATGCGTCATTATTTCATCACTGTTTTTTAGGGATGCGTAGTATTTCCTTGTGTGTATATACCAGAGTTTTTAAACCCATTTGTCTATTGATGGAAGTTTAGGCTGTTTACAATTCTTTGTGATTGTGAACTGCACAGCGATGAACATTGAAGTACGGATGTCTGGTCGTGACCGGTTTCTTATTTCTT